GATCGTACAACCCCAAATTCCCGAGACACGCGTAAGTAAGTAGTCCCGATTTGCAGTCTCGACGACGATCCGCCCGAAGAATTCGCTTCCCCGAGACGATTGAGGCTTTTATTTCGACCCGTATGTAGAATGCATAGAAACTAGGCGAAGTATTCTATTATCCAACCAGGGAGTGACAGAGCAGTGGAGAAATTTCGGCGAGGTCAAATTTCGAGCGAGAATTTTCGGCGAGGGTGATAATAATTATGATTTTACATTTAAACACACGGAACATTTTCGTGGCGGGGAGGAAGAGATGGAAGCAAGATAAAGGGATTTCTTTCCGTGTCGAAAGTTGAATCCACCGAAACTATGCCGGTTCCGACCCTTGATTCTTCGCACTCGAAGAGAATCTCGCGAAAAAACGTGCAACGGTACCGTCGAGCGCTCGCTGAGCGCCAATCTCAAAAATTTCTCTACTTCCAGAAGGCAACTTTGAAAATAAATACATCGAGAGAGGCATCGAGACGCTGTGACGGTACCGGTTTGCCTCGAAGAGTACACCTCTCTTACTCTCTCCGGAACAACTCCGGAACGGCGCGCCCTATGTTTCTCTCTTTTTCTACCCTTCGGGAAAAAAAAAAAAAACGCCGTGCATTACGCCGTACGAATGGATATCCTCGATCCCAATTAATTTCGTTTTTTTTTGTCTATTTTTTTCCGCTTAATTTCCTGGGGTGAGAAGAAGAGAGAAAGATAGGGAAGGTACAGGGAGGAGGTTGAAAAGAGGTAGATGGATCGATGGCGGAACAGGAACGAGAACCAGGGTGTTACGCCGATATCGCGGAGTTGTCCAGGGGGTGGAGAGGCTCGTTAAGTAAGTACGCGCCCATTCCGCACATTATTCGCGTACGAGTACGCGGAAACGCCGAGAATGAAAACTGAAACAAGACGTACGCCTCTCAGCTGATGTGATCGTTCTCGCTCCGTCGTACCTCGCGCTTGTCTCTGCCACCGTTCTCGTCACCGTTCGTCACGTTTCGTTTCGTCCGTCGTTTTTCTCTCTCTCTCTCTCTCTCTTTCTCTCTACATTTGCAATTTTAACATACTCGTTCGCACGTTTCCTCACACTTTTCTTTCCACGATCGCTCTTACTCTTTTACTTGTAATATCCCCTTAAATACGTCATAAATATCACTCGCGAGTTTTGTTATCCTTAACGCGTTACGGTATATGTATATAATTATATATATATATATATTTTTTTTGTTCATATATATTTATATGGGTATATTAAAGTATATAGTATCACTAGAGAATATTACTTGTGTGTTCGGAAGGACCGGATCCTTCGAAACTCTCACCGCTCGATCCTTCCCTCGCTCTCCTAAGACGCTCTACCGTTTCGCTTCGACGTTTTATTATTATCCAAATCCTTTCGCATCGAGTATTCGTTTGTGTATATATATCTAGGATTATCCTTCTATTATCGATTAAACGCGCGCGCAAATAAGCGGCGTATCGCGACGTATTTTATGTATTATCATTACTGTAATACTCGTAATAGTCTAGCGTAGTTTAAAGTTTGAGTCAATCGCTTATTGCTCGAAATTTCTCACGTGATTCCTCGTCAAGGACGCCCCGCATTCGTCCTCGTCGACGGCGATTCTTCTCCGATCGAAAAGGGACCGTTGAGATTCGTGCGGATATTCGGGATTCGTCGGCGTCGGTCGACGTGAGATCATTTGGGCGATAAATTGACGCATGCGATCGCACTTAACACTTACATGAACTACTAATAATATGAAACAGAAAGGAAAGACGATAGAAAGTAAAGGAAATAAATTAAGTGAATATCGCGCGGCGATATCTTACGGTCGCGGTTAAGCGATTCGGAAGTCGCTTTTACAGGCTAAAATGCGAAATGATAGTAGTGCCTAAACGATCGGGTGCTATCGGCACTCTAATGAATAATTTAATAACGAAAGAAGGACAAAAAAAGATATCGATCCGAAAGGAACTTCGCGTATTTACACGGGAATCTGGCAAGACGAACGAAGATCCTCGCGAAAATGCCACCAATTGTACGCTCGCCGTCGTCGAGTCGATTCCGGGACGTATTCTACAAGTGGGTACATATAAATTAAATATCCATTTT